ACTCGCTGCAAAGGCCTGCTGGCTGAGAAAAAGGTCAGGGCTACATTTTATACATTCTATTTCTTAGAGAACATATATTAAAATATATATTACTTAGTATATTGTGGGAATCATTAAAATCAGAAGGTTTTTGGAAAGCTGCCCCTGAGTGAGGAGGATTTCCAGCCTAGAGGAATATAAACATAAAAAAGAAGAGCATGGACAGTGCCATTGCCAGAGGCCCAGGCTGTTTAAAGGAGGAATGGATCGTCCCCTTTGCTGCCTGTAGCTGATACCCCTGTCAGTAATAAGTAGCAACTCTGGGGGCTCCTGGGCAACGAAATGGGAAACCATCTCTCTAAAACAGTATGGGACGTCTTTTACCACCTTGAGGCAATTTTAGAGCGTAAAGGCTGTTCAGACATCTCAAAACGTGAACTAAAAGACTTATTTTTCTGGGTAAAAGCAAATACTCAAAATATAGACTTGAAGTCTGATTTTACCTTTGATTTCGGAGACGAAATAAACTGGATAATTGACAATCTAGTCTCTCTCAGAAAGGAAGAGAATTTGGTCCAACTAATGCCTGAATCCAGAGCTTTAATGGAGAGCTTTGAACAGAATGATTGTAACAGAGGCGTTCTCGAACATCAGAACAGAACACCTGGCTCTGAGACTTTAATTCCGAGTGGTGCTGGGCCTTCATCCTCCTCTGGGGGGATCTCAGGTTTTGTTCAGGGTTCCTTCCCTTCTCCTGGTGTGTCCAGAGTTTCTCCAGGCGGTGTGGACAGCACCTCGATCCCTGGGAAAGGGGAATGAGATCAGCTTCCAGCTTTGGTCATGTCCTCTGTTTTTTCTGGGATTCCCAGCATCACAGGTGTTGAGACAGGCTGTCCTCCCGTTCCTCCATGAAATCATCCACCCCCGGAATTCCCAGGAAAGCATTTGGGATTTTTGTTGCATTCCGAGAATTTGGGGGGTAAGAGGTCATGTTCTGGGGAGGTTGGGAGTCAAACAAGTCCAGGAGATGAGAGTTTGGGGAAGCTTTGCAAAACAGGGGCTGCTGTTTCTGTGCCCTGCTCCTCTTCCAAAGAAGATGCGGCCGAATCTTGTCCTGAAATTGTGCAGGCAGGGTCAGCCAAGGGGGACTCTGGATCTGCTCTGCCTGGCCGAGGGGCTGCAGGGTCACCCCTGCCACTGTTTCCCCTTTCAAGACTCTTCTGGGATTTTTGCCGCTATTGGCTCCCAAGCCTCAGGTTACAGCAGGTGGGAGGGCTTTGGATTTGGCTCTGCCTGCAGGGGAGCAGGCAGGGAGGAGGACAGAGGTGGAGTGTGGTAGCCAGGGTGTGAGCAGGGCAGGGATGGCTCTGCCCAGAGAGGTGGACGGGGTGGAGGTGGGAGAGCTCAGGAAAGCTGCTGTGGAGACACAGGCAGTTCATTCAGGAGCCTTGAAGCCTGTCTCATTCTCTGCTGAGGAGGGAAAAGCATGCTGAGATTGCAGCTTGGACCTGAGAGTTTTCCAGCTGTATCCCTGCCGGCAGGGATGCAGTGTGGTACCTGTCACAGTCCATTGGAAAGCCTCACAAATACAAATTCCGGATCTGCGGCTGGAGAGCAGCCCGATTTGTATGAATCTAAAAAGATCCAATTTAGTGAATCCAGACGTGAGTTAGCAGGCTCTGGCTTTCTTCCTGTCACCAAGAACTTGGAGCTCTCCTCCCCAGCCCTTCCTGGCATGGCTTCTGGGAAAATTTGTTGCTGCGGCAACCCTACTGCCAAGAACTTGGAGCTTCTTGGCAGGGTTCCTGGGACAGCTGATGACAACATTACCTGTTCTTCTGGATCAAATAGATCCAGAAGTGATCAGGAGTGATGAAAGGGAAAAACAAAACACAGTCTAGACCAACGGTAAACCTTCCATTGCAACTACCTAATTGGTCCAATAGTATTCAAAATATAGAAAAAAATTTGGGTTCCAATAAACAACTCCTTGCCTTACCTGTAAGATATGCTTGTAATGATGTAAATCCACAATACGAAATTCTTTCTCACCATGAAATCAAAGAACTTATAGGAAGAATGTAAAAAATTTTTTATAACTTTCCCGATCAGCCTCCAACTGTAACACAGATGCTAACAGCTTGCACTAAGCTCACCTCTCCAAAACATCTTGCTAATGTGCAAGTCAATGCTTTTGGAAAGCAGATTGCAGATTCTTAAGAAAAGTTAGGAAAAACATTTGGACATAATTTGGGAAAGGCTTTGGGAGAAAATTTGGAACAAAAAATGGAAAAAGCTTGAAAAGGCCCTTGAAGCACAAACAAACATTTGGAAAAAATCTGTTGGTACTGTACAGCTGGACTCAGATAACAAGGCTTGTGGCTTTGCTTGTGGTAAAGCAGGACACATGAAAAGAGATTGTCCTACAATAGCAATCAAACCTAAACCACTTTCTATTTGCCCTCAATGTAGGAAAGGGAAGCCTCTTGCTAAGTACTGTCCTTCTCAATTTGACATCGATGGCAAAGCTTTGTCGTTAAACTCAAAAAAGAGCGCGGATTACCACCGCACCTCGACACAAGTAGTGACCTCCTTACAGTCAATTACCCAGTCAAATCAGTCAAATGGCATTGGTACCTCAGTCATTTATTCCTCAGTCATCCATCCCTCAAATGGTCCCAGGTCAATACCCTCGTGTACAAGGTTTGAATTGGCCTCCTCAAAAATTGATACACCTTTTAAATACTTTCTGTTATGAAAGTATTTCTACTGGAATTATCAGGTGGATAATTCTGACAAGAGCTTCTGATTCTAGGCAGAGCTAGCAACAAAATTTTCAGACTTTCAGTTCTTCCAGCTGCTGTTTCAATAATTTGTAACAAAGAGCTAATATATTTATCTCCTGCATTTAATGTTCCTATAGTGACTCCACCAAAAACACCTCTAGCTATTGCATTTCTTCTACCCATGAGTACAGCCAAGCAAAACAACTTTCCAGAGAATTCAATGCTGTGCGTGCCATTTGGAAGCTCAGGTCCTGAGGTCTTTTGGGTCCAATGTTTCAACCGCAACCAGGAAAAATTGACTTGCTGCCTGACTCACTGTGGTAAAACAGTTTACATTGCAGGCATGGCAGATACTGGTGCTGATGTCACTGTAATCTCTGACATGTTTTGGCCCAATGATTGGGATTTAGTAGCTCCTGCAGGTTCCCTCACAGGGATTGGAGGTGCTGCTGTATGTTGGCAAAGTGCATCCATGATTAACATTACAGGTCCTGAAGGAAAGGCAGCAACGGTGCGTCCTTTTGTTGTTCAGAAGCTTCTCACCGTCTGGGGGAGAGACGTCGTGTCCCAATGGGGAGCAGAGCTGGAGGTGGGCCTCTGATGGAAACCACATCAAAACCTGCCACTTGAAAGCTGAACTGGAAAATTGATCTTCCTATATGGATTGATCAATGGCATTTAACAGAGAAAATATTAAATAGCTTTAAAAGATTGGTAAAGGAGCAATTAGAAGAAGGTCACATCACTCCCATACATACTCCCTGGAATTCACCAGTATTCTTCATCCACAAGAAGATATTAGATTTCTGGAGGTTGCCTTATGACCTGAGGAAGATTAATGAAGTGATGGAAGACATGAGACCTCTTCAACCTTGACTTCCTTCTTTATCAATGATCCCAAAACACTGGCCTCTCATTGTCATTGATTTAAAGCATTACTTTTTCCACATCCCACCTCATCCCGATGATACTCCAAGATTTGCCTTTTCAGTTCCTGTCATCAATCAAAGAGAACCCATGCAGAGGTAGCACTGGAAATTATTGCCTCTAAAAATGAAGAATTCGCCTCTAATTTGCCAATATATTACAGCACAAGTTTTGTCTCCAGTTCGACTGAAGTATCCAAGATCCATGATTTCACACTGCATGGATGATTTGCTCATCGCAGCTCCAACGAAGCCACAGATGGAGCAAGCTTGTCCTAGCGTTGTTACTGAAATCCAAAATGCTGGACCTAAAATTTCTACAACAAAATCCAAGAAGTTTTTAGTTAAGAGATTAGAAAGGTCAGTTTTGAAGGATGTTAGTAATGACACTTTATACTGTTGGCTTTCATGTCTTTATACAACTTTGCAATATAGAACTAATCCATATTTTGTTTCTCAAATCAGGGCTAATTCTTTGCTTCCTGGATTTTTAGTGGAAAGAAACCGCGAGAGTGGAAAAAGTGACAGTGGTTATTTCAAGCACTTTGCCAAACATTTTGGAACAAGCAAAACTGAGTCACGCCTTTCTTCACCAAAATGTCCAAGCACTTGTGTGAATGTTTCCAATTTCCAAAACTCAAGCTAAGGGTATCATCAGTGCTTGCCCTGACTGTCAGCTTGTGCAGCCTCCTGTTTCGACAGGAGCGATCAACGCACAAGGTTTGCAAAGCCTGCAGTTATGGCAAACAGATATCATCAAATAGCCTTCCTTTGGTAAATTTAAAAGTATTCATGTTTCAGTGGACATATTCTCTGGTGCAATTTTTGCTTCTCTTCACACAGGTGAAACAGGTAATCATGTCTGTCAACATTCTTTGCAAGCTTTTCCTTCATTGGTCTGCCCCAAGAAGTAAAAACCAACAATGATCCCACATACATATCCCAAAGAAAAGGCAACATTTCTAAAAGAATGGGCTGTTTGTCACATCTTTGGTACTCCTCACTCACCCTCAAGCCAAGCAATCGTTGAGAGGGCACATCAGACATTAAAACATCATTTAGGTCAACAGACAGGGGGAGTTGAGGTCACACCACAGCTGAGGTTGAACAATGCTTTGTATGTTTTTAGTTGTTTAAGCAGTTCAATTTCAGAACCTGATTTACCAATTTTTAGGAATTTTTACAATAACACACAAGCAAAACTGAAAGAAAATCCTCCTGTTTTCATTAGAAACCCTGAGACTGGACCAATTGAAGGTCCTTTCCGATTAATCACCTGGGGTAAAAGGGTATGCTTCTGTCTCTACAGGTGCAGGAATTGTGTCCCAGCCAAAAACATCAAACCATATCGCACCCCAGAACGTGTTGACGAGTCCAAAACCGAGGAAGCAAGTACATGGACGTGAGCCGAACAGAGGGATCCCAGGGCACGCCTGACGTTCCTTGTGCATCGGTGGAACCTGCAAACTCTGATTTTGTGTTAATGCTATTTATAAGTGTGTCAATTGTATGTCAAATATTTGTTTCTTAGAGCTGATTTTTGGCAAAAGTGTGGGTTTTGTTTTTATTAGGTTATAGATCCCCTCTCTTGGATCTTCAAGGTGAAATCTTATCTTAAGGTCAAAAGCAAGTTTTTAAATTGATATATATGTGAGGATTTTGCCAAAACTTAGCTCATTAACAGGATGGAGCAAAATCAAATTATATGCTGGTGTTGCTGGGTTTTAATTGCTTCTTGTCGTGCGGATTTGCCTGTGTTTAACAACCGAAAACAAATGTTTGGGTGACCTTAGCCAATCCAGCAGGCTCGGATACCATATGTTTGTCTAATTGGGAACCAGAAAAGCCTTTTTCAACCTGTCTGGTTGGTGTGGCAGTAAAGGATTTGCCTTTGGTCAAAAAGCGATCCAAGGGTGAGCCAGGTGCAATTGACAATGGGAACAATCCTGCATTGAATTGGAACGTCTGGGCCAAAGAACTTCCCAAAGCCGTATCTGAACCCCAAGAACAGGAAATCCTTGGTTCTTTAACAATGGATTTTTGCCTTACCTTTACAGCTAATGATTGATGAGAAGGTGATCCTCCAAAGTACAATGTTACTCCCCATTATTTTGCGTACAGAAACTTAAGTTTTGTGTAACTATTCTAACAGTTGGGATGTGCTTTCTGAGGCTGACCAATATCCATGACAATTGCCCAAGGGATACTGGTTCATTTGTGGAGATAGGGCTTGGCAGGGCATTCCATTCCACCTTGAAGGTGGCCCATGTAGCATTGGGATGCTCACTGTAATTGCGCCTACTGCCAAAGCGGTCATTAAAAAGAAACAAAGGGGAAGAAGATCTGCTCGTCATTATGATGAGAACTGTAGAAGTGATTTCATGCCTTGGAAGGCTGCAAACAGGGTTTGTTTTTACCCCAACTGACTTCAGCAATGCATTGAAACTATTAGATCAGGTTGGATGTTGGCTGAGTAAGCAAACTAATGCCACATCCACTGCAATCAGTGACATGTTGACCGATGTTAATAGTGTTAGACATGCTACCCTTCAAAATAGAGCAGCAATTGATTTTAGTTTACTGGCACAAGGCCACGGTTGTGAGGAATTTGAAGGACTGTGTTGTATGAACCTGTCAGATCATTCTGAATCCACCCACAAAAGCATACAAAACCTGAAAGATTTGACAGCCCAAATTAAAGACGACGGTGGGTCCTGCTTAGATGATTTGTTCCAAGGATGGAGCTTTGCACCTTGACTAAGGGAACTTTGCAAGATAGGTCTCTATGTATTGGGTGTTTTGGTAGTGATATTAATAGTAATACCTTGCGTATTTCAGTGTGTGTGACGAATGATGAACAAAACTGTCCAAAAAATTTTTATCATACAAGAGAGAGAGGTAGGAAATGGATTCACAGAGAGTTCTTGAAATCTCACGGAGATGGTGGATGAAGGTATAGAAATGGAGGAAGGTTTTGAGTTAAGACCCTGGAACAGACGAGACTTTTTTGGAACAATGACTTGTAACTATTGTCAGGCGTAATTTATGCCCTTTCCACTGACTGGACCTTCACAGCATTAGATTGCTGTCTTGTAATATAGCAATGCTTAGTTCCAGCAAGAACATGCTTTAAGCAGAGAATAAACAAAAAATATTATAGTAAGAGTACGAAATAAATGACAAGTCATGAATGACACGATTGGGAAGGTTTCATTTTGGGTGCACAGAGAGGGGGAATTGTGGGAATCCTTAAAATTAGAGGGTTTTGAGAAAGCTGCAAAAGGCAGGCCTTAGATACAGCAGAATTGTGAGTAGAGCTAAAGCAACAGTCATGAGATAGGTCAGCAGAAAAATTTTTTAAACTGTAGAAAAAGCAAGGGCAAATCGAACAATAGGCCTGTGAAATAATGCTTGTCTGAATAGCTCTCTAAGCTGCAGAAAGTTTATCTAGCAAGATATTAGGAAGCTTAAAGCTTAAAAATGGAGCTCTTTGCCTTGTGTCTTACAATGCAGTATTGTATCCAAAATAAGCAAGCATTGTTTTAACCAAACATACGTGTGGTTATGGTGATTGGATAGAACTACTGTCAGTATGCTTTTGCTTTGTGTGATTGGTCAAGAAACTTACAAAGAAAGTTGTAACATTATGGTTTTTGGCCTGCTGCCTGGATTTTGAGCTGCTAGCATCTTTCCATTAGCATAATCATGTAATGAACGAGACTGATGCTGAAAAATAAACAGCTCAAGGCACTTTCCATAGCAGCCCCGTCTCGTTCGCGTCTGTAAATAGCCCCCGGCCGGTGTCACCCTTCAGCATGCTCGGCATGACCTTGAACTCCATGGTGCTGTGCAACTGAAGCAGCAGGACAGGGACCTTTGCAGCCTGAGCTGCCCTTGTTCCTCTCTGCCCGTGCACAGAACACAGCGTGGAAGAGAAAGGCAGCAGGGCCCTGCGTGTCCCCATGCTCAGGATTTGTGCCGCTTCAGCTCCATGGACACATGGGTAAAGTGACAAATGTAAACTGTTTATTAGGGAAGGCAAAGTGAAGGGTGAACTGGGAGGCAAACAAGGGGATAGGCAGGGCCTGGGGGCTGGAGGGAGGGAGGGGAGGGAGGGGAGGGGGGAGGGGGGGGGAGGGGGGGGGAGGGAGGGACATGACAACGCGCTCCTGGAGCTTCCCACAGGCTCAGCTGTGACCAGCAAGAGCTGTGCCTGGAGTTCCAGCTGGTCCCCTGTGTTCTGCAGGTGGTCTCATCTTCACTGGGAAATGGGGGTTGATGAAGGACACAGGTTCTTCTGGTCCTGCAGACCAAGTTCGGCAGCTCTTGCCTCGAAGTTCAGCTGGATAAATTTGTTGATGAAGGAGGGGCACTCATATTCCCTCAGGGCTTGAAGGGCTGGAAAAGAGAAGCACAGGGCCACGGTTAGAGGCCGGATTGCGGGAATCCAGGGAAACGCTCCTGCCAGGGCCATCCCAGCCAGCTCCGGCTATGGCCAGAAGGGAGGCGGAGACAAGGGCTCGGGCCGGAAGGTGCTGGCCTCGGTTCCCCCACGTGTGCCTGAAAGCTCTCCAGGCTCTGCCCCCGCCGCCCCTCGTCCGTCCGCACAGGGAGCAGAGCCCTCGGCAGCCCGGGCAGGGATTGTAACTGCGGAGCCGGGATTTGTAGCTGCCCCTGACGGCTCCCACTGGCACCCGTGCGGCTGCAACCACTCACCCTGACTGAGGACCTGGAGCTCCTCCTTCTGCCCCATCATGAGCACTCCAGCGACCCCTGGTAAGACAGAGCCCGTGGCGGCGCCAGGAGGCACAGCTGCCCGACACAGGGGCTGCCAGCCCTGCAGCCGCACATACCCTCCAGGGGCATGGAGGGGCGCGGGGCTGCTGGCTCACCGATCAACCTGACGGCCGCCTGTCGCAGGCGCTTCTGTGGGCTCTGCAGGAAGGGCAGGGCCCAGCGCAGGTGCTCGGCCGCTCGGCTCTCGTCGTCAAGCAGCTGCGGGGAGGACCGACGGGGAAGGCTTGATGCGGGCTCTGCCCTACGGCCGGGCGCTCCCTGCACCCAGCAGCGGCCGAGCCGGCCCGCACGGGCCAGGGCAGGGAGCGGCGTGTGGGGCACAGACTGGTGGGCTCGGCTGCGGTGCTGGGCAGGGGCACAGCTGCCAGCCCCAGCACGAGGGGCAGGAGGCTTCCCCAGCCCGCAGCTGGGGCTCCCTGGCTGTCCTTACCAGGCGCTCGGCGAACTTCATGCGCTGCTGCTTTGTCAGCAGCTCCTCCAGGTCCCTCCTCCTCTGGAAGCGGGCTGCACAAAGCAGGGCTTGGAAAGAGGCCTGGAGAGCAGCAGAGAGCCGCAGGTGGCACCAGAGCCCAGGGCACAGGACCTGCATGCCTGTGCCAAGGCCAGGGAAGGCCGGAGCCTGCAAGCTGCCAGGACAGGAGGCAGCCCAGCTCCTTGCCAGGGATGCAGCAGCGTCACACAAAACCTGACCTTTGCCACACGCCAGTTGTCATCATGCCAGTGCAAGAAGAGAGGGAGCAGGCTCTGGCTCACAATTCTCATGAGAGGCTTTTCCCTCTCTTCATCTACCAGCTCCATCACTTTGCTGAAGAGCCGAATGGAGAGCAGCTGCGCCTGGCTGTCATCCTGGAGGAAAGGAAGAGACCTCAGCACCAACTACTCCAGGCCCATCAGGGCAGAGGCCCAAAAGTGCACAAGGCACAACATTTCTGGGCAGCATCCAGTGCCCGTGGCTGGGGGCACAGAGCCTTACATTCTCCAAGTATGGCAGGAGCTGCTCGGCCAGCTTCAGGGCGGTGGCACTGGGTATCTTGATGTTTTCCATCTGGAGCATGTGTACAAGCACAGGCAGGATGATGGCGACCGTCGCTACATCTGCATGCGCCATCTGCTCCAGCAGGTCTTGGCAGAGGCCGTGTATTCCTCCACCCTGTGTGCAAGAGCAGGCCATGCTGTGAAGCCGAGGACAGCCGCAGCACCAACAGCTGCTTGGGGCACTCGGGCAGCTGAAGTGAGAGGCAGGAGAGCTGGGAGCAGATGCCTCGGCTGCCAAAGGCCAGCCAAGGCCAAAGGTCTGCGTTGCCCAGCCCCACGCTGTCAACGTGGCTTCAGCCACTGCCCCTTCTCACCAGCGAGGGCTCCTTGCTGAGCTCCACGTGGCCTCTGAGCTCTGGGTGCAGCCTGTCCCTGCTCTCGCTTGGGAGGTGCCTGGCCACAGCCGACAGGGCACTGGCACTGTGCTTGTTCAAGTGCAGACCCTGCAGGGCAGTGACAGCCTCCGGCCTGCCCTCAGCCACTGCCCTGACTGAGTCTGCTGCACGCTCCGGGGAGGCCGAGGTGACATCAGGCTCTGCCCGCAGCTCGGCCGTGCCCTCGGTTGTTGCGGCGC